AGAATCGCAGAGAGGAGATTTACTAGGATTATACGTCGACTTGCCCTCTGAGCAGAGACCAGAGGAACTGGGCCTATCTTCACGAAGAAAATCAGAACTGGAGGAACAGGGAATGTTGAGGGGAGTACCTGCTTGAAGTCTTTAACATTATGGTTTTATAGAGTCAATAGTGAGACATTAATTCCACTGGGCAGTGAGTCAGTGACTGGAAGACATCAATTTAAGATAATTAGCAAGGGAGTAAAAGGGGAAATTAGGATGAATTTTTCATAGAGATGTGGCTTGCTTTCTTCCCTTCTTTCTTTTTACTCTGTCTGTCTTTCTGTCTCTCCCTCTCTCTCTCTCTCTCGCCGTTAAACCACTGCCCCTTTGTGCATTCATTTATCCCTCTTACCCAGCCCCTCTCTCAGGGCGTGTAAAAAATAGCCCCTGAAAGTCTCTGCCTGGCTCGATTACATGTGTGGGTCCCACGATGACTCATGACTGGCCGGGAGAGCGTTTCCTCAGCAGTTCTGTCCTGGGGGCAGATCAGATTGAGATGCTCAAATTACGATAATTCGAAGCTGTGGTCATGTTGGGAATTAACAACAACCGTTCTGTTCATTCAGGACAGCTCAACAGCTGTCAAGCATATAATAAACCCGTGATGATCGAGGTGATTTGAGGTGGGAGGGGGAAAGAAACTCTCCTTCGAAAAACCCTCAAAGTATTTTTTTTTCCTGAAGTATTTATGCATTGGCAGAAACTCAAAAATCTGAGAATCCGGTTTTAAGTACATATTCCTGAAATGCTTTGGGAAGTGAGTATTAGACGGGCCTTGGACGGATCACATTGCGGTCTCCAGAGGTAGCTGTAATGGCTAGGTCCTTTAACTATTCCCAGATTGTTATTACTATTATTATTTAATAAGTGTTCGATTTCAAGACTCCAATTTCGCCCTTTCCTCCCCCGTTTCGATGTACGTCTGACATTGCCTGCAAAGGGCTAGGTTTTAAGCCCAGCCCCACGACACGCAGAGGTTAGGGACTGTGCGGCTAATGTAAAAATACCCCTCTCCTGGGATTGCTAGAACTATGGTGCGCAGCTCCATTTCACAGCATTTTGTTGTCGTGTATGTAATCTTAGAAAGGCTCCTTCTGCACAAATAGCAAGGTAGCCATTCATTGTTTTCGATTGGGCGCCTTTCACACCGGGAGGATGTCTCGTGAAGAGCTTCGCAGGATTTCTCGCCGCGTATTTTGTAGGAGAAACGAGGCAGCCAATTTGCGCTCGGCAACACCCCATTGGGAACCCGCGAGGTGGTTTTAATAACAATAAAAAAATCCTTACGTTTGACACAGCGACTTATCAAATCGTCGAGAAGTGCCTCAAAGCGTTTCACAGGATATACTGTAAAGCGGTTTTGACTGTGTCTTTTGTGGGTCTGACTTAATCTTAATCGAAATCTTGAAGCTTTAAGACAGAATAGTGACACAAGCTAGGACTAAGTGGAATTTGGGGGCCTCAGAGGCAATCTCAGAGGCACCAAAGTTGCTGTAACTTTAGTCCTTTTTGGGTCAAGTATAAAGTTGCAGAGTTGACTTGCACTTGACTGACAACATTTCACAGAGCGAGACTGAAGAATGTAACATCTGTGCCTTTTGTTCGCTTCTCAGTGAATCACTTTGCAAAATCATAGGATTTTATAGCACAAAGGAGGTCATTTGGCCCTTTGTGCCTATGCTGGCTCTCTCTGAAGGAATTCCCCGTTTATTCCCACTTCCCTACCCTTTCCCCAGACCTTTTCAAATATTTGACTGGTTCCCTTTTAAGGTCATTATGGATATTCTCATTCAACCACCGTTCTTAAGAGGTCATTCCATTCCCTAATATTCCTCTAAGCACGATGTATCTCTTTGACCCTGCTTTCGGTCAAAGCTCTTTGAGACGAGCTCTCGATGTGAAATAACTGTAAATGGGATCGTATCATAAGCAACAGAAGAGATTCTTCCTCACTTTCTCCCTTTGATTTTTCTGTGGTAATAATCCCCAATTTATGTCCCACCCCTCGTTATCAACTCGCCAACCGTTGGAAACGGTTTCTCCCCATTTATCTGATCAAAAATCATGCTTTTATATCATGTTTACAGTTACACCCCCTCCCCCCACCCACCCCAAACTTGGGGTGATCTATGATCTTTAGCGAATTAGCCTCATGTTTGGTCACAGTATGGAGGAGTTCTACCAGGAAGGTCACCTGATAAGAAAAGAGGAAGACTTCCTTTGCTTCCCTGTCGGTTCTGCACACAGAATAACAACCTGACTGACACTTGCCTTACCTGATAGCACAGTGGTTTAATATTGGGTAACACCACACCTCGTGGTGCCCAGGCTTAAATTCACACAGTTCCTGATGTTGCACTGGAGGTCAGTGTAGGATGCATTAATGGGCCTCAAGGCCAAATGAAATAGATGCAGTGGGTTAGAAAATGAGAACCATAAAATAGTAAACATTTACAGCAGAAAAGAAGGCCGTTTGGGTCATCGTGTCAGTTATATCTCTTTGAAAGAGCAATCCATTAAGTCCCATTTCTCGGCTTTTTCCCCAGCATCTTGGTACACGACTAACTGTTAGATATCAATCTTGTTCTCTCTTAAAAGCTAATATGATTCCTGCCTTGGCCATCACACCAGGAAGAGTGCCACATCCTAACAACAACAAAAAATCCTCTTAGTTTGCTAATTATATTAAATCAGCGCACTTTCGCACAATGTTAAATTGACGCCCTCTAGTCACCGACTCACCGAGCAAAATAAATAATTTCTCTCCATCAATTTCATCAAAGCCCCTCTTAATATTTATGTCTTCGACCGGGTCTCCCCTCAACATTGCTCTGTTCCTGTGAAAATAGGGCAAGGTTCCTTCCTTCAGTCTATCCTCATCGGTCAAACTATTTATCACTGTTATCATCCAAATATATCTCCTGTACATCCTCTTTATGGTCCTGACATGCTTCCTAAAGTACAGTGACCAAAACAGAACACAATACACCAACTACAGTCTAACAATTTATTCACAATATAAGCATCACCTCATTGTTACTATATTCTCTGTCTCTATTTATAAAACCCTCTCATTGGTCTCATTAGTTTGTCCACGTGTCTTTCCATCTTTAAAAATGTATGTATGTATGTTAACCCTTTGGTCCCTCTGCTCTTCTCCTTTTCAAATTTTTACATCAAGAATACGTAAACTGTTCCTCTCCTTATTCTTCCTCCCGAAATTTATAACCCCGCACTTTCCTGCATTATTAATAATATTAGAGTATGTTGTCAACCTCGGTCGTAATATAAAGCGAAACTCAAAGTGACCGACGAGGCTTACTGTAACCTCCCCGCCGACTCGGTGTCGTGCTCCGGGACGCCACCCTGCGTGAGGGGCGCTGTGTAAATGCAAGTTGTTGTTGTCGTTGTAATTGCTTGCGGAGTAATCGGAGCTCCGTCAAACAGAACCATACACGTGTGGAACTCTCAGCAGTTTGGTTCGGAAGCTCTTGAACTCAGGTCTCTCACGCAAAGGCTCTAACCACTGAGCTACACGGATTTCAGCGCGTGTCCAACCCCCGGGTGACCCACCCACCCCACACAAAAGAAAATTGTTGCTGGTCAGTAAAGGGTTGGACATTTTCTCTTTTTTGGGGGGGGGGGGGCTGCTGCAGTATTTTAAATGGGAAGGGGGTTAACTTGTTATCTGCTGTCCAACCGTGTCAATGAAGAGTTAAAGCGAGGAAAGCTGTGCAGCTGCTGATCTGTGGGACTGTGTTAATGCCGGTGAACCTGCTGTCCAGGGGTAACGGCAAAGCGGAGTTTGCCAAATGAAAGAATTTTTCGCCTGTTTCTCCAACGATCACCACTTGCCCGGTCGGTTACAATGCTGGGCGGGGAAGGGGTTAACGTCCTCCGAATCAGACCGTGTGTCTCTTGTTATCTGTTGTTAACGCTTTTTCCTCCAAGACACACGCGCACACACACACACATAAACACACAGCAATCACACACAACACACACACACACGCACAGAGAGAGAGAGAGCGAGACGGACAGAGCAATGCTCGACATTGGGTTGGGAAGAGTTAAGGACCATTTTTTTAACCAAGCGCTCTTGTTGTGCAAGTCAGGCGAGGAGGGGGTTAATGGCTATTGATGCCCAGGCGAATGGTCCACTGTGTGTGTGTGTTGGAGAGAGGGAGAGAGGGAGAGAGGGTGGGAGAGAGAGCTGTGACGATGCTGAGATGGGAAGGGCTGTTGGATGGAGAACAGCTCACACACCAATCAGCTCACAATTGATTCCAACGAGCTCTGAGCCTCTCTCTCTCTCCTTCTCTCTCTCTTTCTCCTTCTCTCTCTCTCTCTGTTAACAGCTCAGGAGCTCCAGTGAGCAGTCTGAGAGCTGCTGGTGTATTGCATAGGGTTTGCTGCAGCTATTTTGCCTGTGTTTTTTTTATATATATATATATTACACACACACACACACACACCAGCCATCCAGAGGATCATTGAGCTGCCTCTCTCCATCAGCACAGTCCCCTGTTGGCTTTGGGACTTCTCCTTTGCTGTGTGTCTTTCTGTGGCCATTGAGAGAGAAAAAAAAAGGAACGACAGACAGGACACAACACTCAACATCTCCCCCTTCACCCCCACCCCCCTCCCCCCCCCTTTCCCCTCACCCCCTCCAACCCCAAACCCCCCCTTTTTTTTCCTGACTCAACACAAGAGAACCAGAAGACCAGAGACCTTTTTTTTTTTGAAAAAAATATTATCAATTCTCAATCGGAATAGTTTGGATGTAACCTTTTTTTGGGGGTTAGGGTTGGTTTGGTTATTGAGTTGTTTTTTGAAGGAGGAAGAAGAGAGAGAGGAGGGGAAGGGGGTTGTCAGGGTTTTTTTTTCCCCCCTCTTTCTTTTTTCTCTCTCTCTCACACACACATACACACATATATATATATATTTCTGGAGTGTGTGTGTGTGTGTGTTTTTTTTTCTTATTTGCCAACACCAACAAAAAAAAATATAAGGAGAGGCAAAGCAGATCTGCTGATTGGACTTGACTTCTCTTCCTTTGCTACCTGGAGACCTGAGCCATGGGGATGTGTGTGATGGATTTCCCCAGGAGGGGAGATTGGGGGTCCAGACCAGGGTCACCTGGCTGGAGGATGGGTTGTCCAGGGAGCAGGTGGCTGTGGCTGTGTACCCTGAGGTTACTCTGCATTGTACCTGCAGGAGAGCCAGTCCAGAGAGGAGACCGAGATACCAACGCCGGGTTCCCCAAAGCCATGGACAACGTGACGGTCAGACAGGGAGACAACGCTGTGCTCAGGTAGGAGGACCATTTATTATTTTGCTTTGGTGGTGGTGATGATGTGTGTGTGTTTTTTCTCTCTCTCTCTCTCTCTCCCTCTCTCCCTCTCTCCATCCTTTTTGTTTCGCGAACGAATTTTCAATGGTCCAAAGCAATTTCTCTTCCAGCTCTGGTCCCCCATCACTCACTCACCCACTCACCCACTCCACCGTTTGGTTCCTAAACTGAGCATTCGTTAAATTGTTCTTGTTCTTGTTCTTCTTGTTGTTGTTGTTGTTGTTACTATTGGAGGGTGAATGTTAATTGCTGACTTTCAGGACCACTTGTGTGTTGTGTTTCTCTCTCTTTTTTTTTTGTTGGTCCAAACTGTGTTGTGGTTGTGTCCCAATATGATTTCTCTTTCTGGCTTTACCCCCAACTCTGTTTCCTTTGGGGGAGAACACACACACATATATATTTTTATATATATATATAGAGAGAGAGAGCTAAAGGCAGATGTGGTTTGAGCCAGGTTACAGTCAGGTTAAAGGTGCTGCTGTTGTTATTTGCTGATCAATTTAAACACACACACAACTGGAGGGAGTTTCAACTCCCTTTTGCTTTGCTGCACACACGAACATGAAATGAATGGATGGATGAATGTGGGTCCTGACTGATGGTTGACACACTACAAGTGTTCCTGTTTACAAACTCACCCCCTTTATGTAATAATAATAATAATAGTAATAATACATTTCTGATAATAGTGATATGACCTCGCAGTTTTTATTACCAAATCACACCGTGCACAGAGCGGAATTGTTTTAAAACACATTATTTTGTTGTTGTTGTTGTTATTATTATTCTTGCCACGGTTCTGTGTCTTCCTTTTTCCCCTGTTAGAAATAAATACATCCATCCATCAATCGGAGTTATATAATATTAATAAGCGCGTTGCTATTACAATGGTAATAAAAAATAAAGGCACGAATCAATCGGAGCGATGTAATATTAATGAGCGCTTGTTATTATCATTAAAAATAACACTGTTGTATTAAAAATGCACGTGTATTATTCATCCCATGATAAACAAGGAAGACTGTACCAGGCGGAATACTGATGGCATCTCATAAAAGCAGCATTATTTGCGAAGCTGCTAGATTAATAACCTAAATAATTAAAATAAATGTAACGTGTTGTTTCGTTGCTGAACGGAACGATTAAGCATTGAGGGATTCAAAATTTTAGTTTGCTGATTGGGTTTTCTGTCGGTTAGGTTTTTTTTGGGGGGTGTGGGAGGGATGTGTGTAAATTTGAGGGTTTTTTTATTTGGTGTGGGAGGGGTGGTGGTGGGGGGGGGGGTGTTTAAGAGTTTTTGCCCTTCCCCCAAAACACAGTCTCCTGTTTTGCTTCGGGTGACTGCGAAATCTTGGAAAGCATTCGATTTTGTGGGAGCTCTTCCAAAGGCACGTTTGCATTTGTTGTGTATTTTTTTTCTCTCTCTCTCTCTCTCTCGTTGGTTTTTCTTCCCCTTGACTAATGTTTTTTTTAAAAAAAAATTTAAAAAATAAAAAAAAAATCCCCCTGATTGCACAGAGAGGCGTTTAAATTGTTGACGGTGGTGAATTTGTGTTGATTAGACAGGTTTCACTGCAAGAGGTGGGTTGGGGGAAAAGGGGAGAGACTGGAGAATCTGCATTAAAACAGTTTTGGTTCCTTTCTCGTTTGCTGAGCAATTTCCTACATATATGCATGACTTCATATATAGTTTTTTTTGTTTTATCAAAAAAGATATTATTCCATCTCCCCCTTTTATTTTTTGCAATGTGATTTCTGACCACCTCTCTTTGCAGGTTGACAGCTTATCACATTTCCTGAGCCCAAAGCTAACACCCTTTTGGTACCCTGGGCTTAATCATTGCTAATGGCATCAATAAAGAGCTTGACCAGCTCATCGTGTGATCTGGGAGTGGGTTGAGGGCATCGGCTTGGGGAGGGGTGCTGGAGAATTGGATGGAAATATTGATTTGCATGTGAGCCATGTATTTCAGGGCTCCACCTCTCTCTTTACTTGTCATTGCCTTAATCATCATCAATAGCACAAACTGGCTTTTATTTATATATATATATATATAATAGATATATATATATATATATATATATATAGTGGGGGGCTGAGAGGGGAGGGAGTGTTAGGGCACCAGTTAACATTATTGTTTCTCTGGCCAGTCTTGAAAATGAGCAAGGACAAATAACTCAAGCTGTTCGCAGTTGGGGTTGGGAAGGGATGTCTAACTGTGGTGGGTGGGAGAGAGAGAAGGCACAAGTACATTTGACATGCTGTGTTTCGCACAGCTTCGTTCTCTGCAGCTAAATGTCTTCATGTGTAAAATGAAGCCCACCACCTGCTCTCCAGACCCCATCCTTACCTCCCAGCTCCACCTCCTTGCCCCTCGATTAGCAGCCATCATCAACCTCTCCTTGTCCACTGGCACCGTTCCCACCCTTTTTTCTTAAGAAAGAAAACAGCTATGACAGCCAGTCTTATTGCACCAATGTTACATCTCCAGTCGGTCACACTAATGCAGTTATCGGGCTGCAAGTGTCAGTGGGGGGGTTAATTCATCTCTGGATTGAGAGCAGCCACATTTGCGTATTAAAAGGCACTTTGCATGGTTTTAGTTTAGGGTTGGGTAAGTTGGCTATGCCATTTGTTCATCTCAGAAGTGCCAGTGGTATTTAATCGGGACAAGAGATATGTGCTGACAAGGGATACAGAGAGAGGCACACTGTCTGGGAACAGTCTGTAGGGACATCACACACACTGACCGCACTCTACAGCACTTCTTCTCTTCAGCCTTGTGATAGACTGCATTAATGCACAGATCACATGTGCTGTTTTTTCTCCCAGATAGCAAAACAAAATTCACCCTTTGGTAAAACAGTGTCAGGGTGGATGATTCTCTCTCTCTCCCTCTCTCTCTCTCTCTCTCTCGCCTTGCTTTCCGAGCGATGCTGTGTTTGGCTATGGCCTGCCTCTTTGTCAATTGCTAAGGTTCTGAGTTGTTATTAAGGCGTGACTTTCCCGAGATGCTGTTGACCCGCTGAGGTCATAATTGAGGGAAGATTTCAGTTCACTTACTGTTCTGATATTGCTGTTTCCCCAAAGATGCACTTAAGAGTAATGTCTCTCCATGGACATGGAGTGGGCAGTTGCTTTCTCTGTAAGGCACAGGCAATGATTACCCCGTGATAAAACTGAGCCATACTCAGGTGGGCATAGTTACTGTAATTGGCGCTAATGCGCCCCAAATATGAGCCATGTTTGGTAAGCGATTTCTTACAAAGGAAACGTGCGATCGTCAGCGCCCGGGGATGGCAAACTGACGTGAAAGGCGCTATGCAAACGTAATTTGTTGTCGCTGCTGTCAATTATTTTTATCTCTAATCATTTGCAACATTTCTTAAGAGGTTCCTTCATACAACATGTATATTTAGTTATTAGGCTTTTTTTAATAAAAAACTGTGATACGCCACATTCTCCAGTTTAGGAGATTCAAAGTTCCCTCAGGAAATCTCGCAAATTAGGCTTCGGTGTTGAAATGCAACCCACTGAAGGAGGAATCGGCTGAGAAGCAGTGCTTGACATGGAGAATGTTTGGAAGAATGATTCTGAGGTCCTCATGAACAAGACACGTTTCAAATATAAAGCATCGGTTCTGAGTTCACAGCTAGTGTTTGGAGGTCAGTTTGGGGAGGGGGGGGAGTTTGCTAAAGCGACAACAAATTTACATTTACACAAGTCGGGAGGACATCCTGAAGCATTTGGACAGTCAAGGCTGTGCATCCGAGCTGGGAGTTGGGATCAGGAGGAGTGGAGGGCAGGGAGGGTGGGAGGTAGGAGGGTGACCAAAGGCGAGGTCAAAGAGGAAAGTCTTGAGACCTCTGTGTGTGTGTGTGTGTGTGTGTGTGTGTGTGTGTGTGTGAGTGACAGAAAGAATCCACCATTATTAAATATGCAATTGCAGATTCGCAGCTCTATATCAAGCACCAGTTTCCATTTGACAGCATTGTGTGAAAATTAAAATGCATTCATTCTCTGGATGAGATGTTCAGCTTTGCTCTGGGCGACAGCTCCAGAGGTGCTAATTTTACTTGTACAGGATATGGTTTCAATGCAAGACACCCCGTGAAGCAAAGCATCACTGATTCTCGTGAATCCCAAGGGCACAGGGAAAGGCTTACAGTTGCAGGCAGCCAGAGAGAACCTACTGAGACATTGAGCGCGCAAACATCTGTGAATTTAAGGAATCGCCCATTGAATGGGGAAATGAAACTGTAATCTGCCGTCGTAAGAAGGTCTTCCACACATCGTAATGTGTAGCTCACGGTCCAGATGTCGCGTGCGCTCAAGAGAAGGTACGGACACCGGTTTGCTTGTAGGTCAGTCTGCCTCATTTGGCAGCGCTCTCGCCTCTTGAGTTGCAAGGTTGTGGGTTCAAGCCCCAAGTCGGAACTTTGCATTGGCTGACTCTCCAATCCCTCGGCACAGTTCAACAAGAGAAGGGAGTTTTCTCCTGTGTCCTGGTCAAAAAGCGTCCAGGGAAAAATCGGTCGTTCACTTCATGGGCTGTTGCCTGTGTGCAAATTGGCTGCTACGTTTGCTCACCCATATACCATCACTCCACTTTAGGGTTTGTCCAGTGAGGTGCCAATGGTCTCGTCTGAAGAATGGGACATCTTTCATGGACAGTCCTTCTCCACCCCCGAGGACTCCGCTGTCAGCGTAATGTTGCTAAACTGAGCGGGGCCGTGACACGAAGCGCGCCACAGGAAGTGGTGCAAGTGAACCGCACAGCTGGCAGGAAAAGAGGAATCAAAAGGACTTCTTAGAAATCTTCGCTAAGAGTTTTCCGATTTTTTTTTTTCCCCCCCACTTCTGTTGACTCGATATTTTGTGCGTTCCACAGAATTTTGGTTTCTTTCTCAGATGTTTCCTCCCAACAGTCAGCTGACACCTCGGTTTAACATCTCATCAG